GTATTGTGGTATATTTTCTTCTGTCTTCAGTGTCCGTGTGCATATGCACCGATGACACATTCTGCCTCGTTCCCAGGATCTGAGTGTGAGCATCCCCGTGCCTTTTGGTTTTTCAAATTATCTTTTACAGGCTGCATAATACTTAATCATACGGATGTGAATTTACGTGTTTAGATTATTATTAATTTTATTGGGCATTTTTGTCATTTGCAGATATATATATATATTTTTTGCTCTTTCAAAGCTAAGTTGAACCTCCTGTACACAAACCTATGACTGTATCACTGATTGTGTTCTTAGGATAGATTATTCCCAGACGGATTAGTAGATCCAGAGCTCTTGTACTGGCGTAATAAAAGATTGCTACATACGCCTGGTTTTTGTGAGGACAGTTGACCCATTTTGCACTTGCTCTTTGGGGCTGAGATTGCTCCCGTTGTAACAGTAGGAACGTTGACTCTTAAGAATGTTTTGTCAGACTGTACTTCAAATGATAAATGATCTTTCTAGCTGCTCTGTGCTGTTTTTAGACTAGGTGATCACTGGTCTTGGTGGAGTCCGTGTTTCAGTGGCTTGTCTGTTGAGAGAAGGTAGCCCCCAGCTCCTGGTGAGGGGCCACGGAGAGTGGTGGTGTGTGGAGCTCTTCCCAGGCGGGCGTGGCCACAGACCGTTGAGTTGATGTGCGCTCAGGACGAATCAGCCTCATGCAAGCAGTTCTCTGCCAGGACATCAGAGGTGCGTCTCTTCCAGGTGTCCTCACGGAGCTGGTGTCCCCCGGGGCACTTCTGCCTCTCCCACGGTGTCCCAGCCAGACTGGTGGCCTCAGGAACAAGAGCAGCCGACGTTCTGTTGAATATTGACTGTTTGCCCAGCACTCTACTTTAGGTGCATTATTTATATGAGGTGGGCACCGTTATCCCCACTTTGCACTGGGGGTGACTGGACCTGAGCGACGGGGATCCTGGCTGCCTGTCACAGCCAGCAGGGGCTGCTGGAACAAGTGCTGTGGCCTCTGTAAGGGGCTCTGCTCTCCCTGGATTTGACCCGCGCCAACCAACTCGTGAAGCTTGATAGCTGCAGGACTGCCCCCTACCGGTCGGGGGACCCGGGCGGCGGGGGGACTCCTGCTGTTCCAAGTGGAGAGAGTGACGAGGGTTGAGTGGGTTGGCGTGGTTACGAGCAGATTGCATCCATGATAAGAGAGGCATGAAGCGTGCTCATAATTCTAGTCGCTCTCATTTTTTTATTCTGCATGGCCTCTTCCCGTATGTTCACATCTCGGGCATTGCATGTGCACCATGTGCACAGCAGTTTTGAGCTGATCTGCTGTCTTAACCGCCTCTTGGTGGCACAGCCTGGCTCGCCATCTCGTTCCCAGCCCTGCGCACAGCCGTCGTCTTATTTACAGCCCTCGGGAACAGCACTTCATTGTTACCGTGTGCATCACTGCAGGGGAGAAACCTCACAGAGATGCCGTGTTGAATGTGTCTGGGTGTATCGGAGGGTAGAATCTGGAACTGCTAACTTCATGGTAGGGGAAAGGCTGGCCATCGTCTTTTTGTAGGAGTTCCCCTAAGAGACTCTTCGGGGGGCCTCGCCATTGACAACCATCACCTTGGGAATAAATGCACGGGGCTCTCCTGTTGCCTGCTGCAGCACCTTCAGTTTCTTACCTTGATTACTGAAGATTTGTTTCTATTACAGCACAGCTGGGACACTGAGACTTTGCTTTTCCAGCATATTCACTATTGCTTTGCCAGATTTTTCTTAAAAACTCCCCGCCATCACTCAGATGTTGAATGTTTGCACACTTGCTGCCTGCCTTGCCCTATGCCTGCCTCTGTCGCATCCAATGACTTAGAAAGATCTTTAATGAAATCAATTTTTTAAAATGAAACCTCTCTGCTAACAGTTGTGGTTCTGGTCCCTGAGTATGAAAGTGAGTTTTCAGCACAAAGCCTCAGGCAGCCTATGTTCTTCTGGTCTCTCTGGTCAGAGGCCAGCACTGAGGGAACCTCTGAGGAAAGCATCTGTTTGAGGGAGCGGACGGACGGGCAGGAGCCTTGCTGCCGGCCCACCTCGCATCTCCAGGCTGATGTGCTACGCTTTGGCATCTTTGTCCCTTACCCTTGGAAGGGGCCTTGGAGTTCGTCTGACCTCATTTTCTGTGCAGAGCTGGGGTTCCGTTTCGCATCCCGCCTGAGGGGAGGTGGTTTGGCCTTTGGACGTTCTGACCACGGTGAGCTGCTTCATCTTGAAAAGTCTTGCAGCGCCTGAGAGGAATGCAGAGTCTTGGGCCCTACCTGACCTTCTCAGTCAGAACCTGCACTTTAGAAACTGTGGAAGCGTTGTGCACGTGGAAGTTTGGAGAGCGAGGCGTGCCAGCGAGAGGGCCTAGCGCTCAGAGCTGGGGCGTCAGCTGCTTGCATCCCAGGCTGGCACTCTGGCCCGTTACTGTGTCCCCGCGTGTGCTGCCCCTGTCGGACCACGTCACTTTCCCGGAGGCACCCCAGACTGGAGTGAGTGCCTCCTGCCCAGGAACGTGCTCCAGAGTCCGATTTCATTCACGCTCACGGCTCGGTCGGTCCTGTGTCCGATCCGGTGAAGTTCTGTGCTGGTTGTGTAGTGTGTCACTGAGAACGCAGACATTTTACTTGGAAGTAGAGGTGCCGTTTTTGTCCGGTTAATCCTGATTTCACTAAAACTTGGTGAAATGGTCAGATTTTTCAGACACCCATTAGGTGCCTCTGTCATATGAGGTGCTGTTCGAAGTCCAGAGGGTACAGCAGCGAACAAGACAGACAAAAAGTCCCTACTTCATCGAGCTGTGAGAGGGCCTAAGAAGGTCACACGAGCGTAGACCTGACATGTGTGAGGGGTCCGTGCAGGTGCGTACGGGGTCTGGGGGGTCCTTCGGGCAGATCCTGGCTGCCAGGCCCACCCTGGTGGGGCCACAGTGGGTTGAGTGGAGGGGAGAAGTGAGAGGGGACAGGTCCCCTGTAGGTCGTGGCAGAGGCTGTCTGGAGGTGGGACGGTGATCACCTGGTCCCGGGGGCACAGGGAGTGTCCATTGAGTGAGAAAGCGAGGTGCTCACGGGACAGAGGACTCGGAACTTCATGGAAGTGGCTGAGTCGGGCTGGTTGTTGGAGAGCGTCTTCTTGTTGCCCTTCCAGCCATAGCAGGAGGCGACATTTGGAACTGCTCAAGTCTTTATTCTCGTGTCCATCAGGCTCATGACTGGAGCGCCGCTTGTGAGCGTGAGTCAGAGAGCATCTGGGTTGAACTGCGGAGGTCACATGGGGCAAATTAACTTAACCAAAAATAACCCCAAACACAGCATTTCTGGGAAATGCAGGGGAAGAGAGCTTTCAATGTAAACAAAGGAGCAAAGTCAAGATAAAGGCTTGGTTGGAAAAAGTGAGCATCTGGAAAACTAGGAAGAGACGCTCTGGTAAAACACAGTGAGGCAAACAAATACTTCTCTGCTGGTTATAATTTTAACGAGTTTTGTTTTGCACGTTTGTGTTGTCGGCATGGTGTGTGCTTCCATAGTGTGACCCCTAGGCTTTCCCCTTCTCCTGGGAACCGTGGCGTACGCACCTACACCCTTACCTTTCCTGTGACCCCGTGGAAGGAGCTTCCTGTCCCCCCGGGTGACACCTGGTCCTCACAGGGGCTGACCAGACAACAGGCCTCCTGTGCTTTGCACTCTGGCTGAGGTACCCAGTGCACAGGACAAAAGAACACCATGACCAGTGTCCAGGCCCCACTCCGGAAATTCTGATTGGGTGGGGGTGGGAGACGCACGTTCTTGCTGGGCCTCGGGGGTTCCCCACGCCTCAAGGTTGAGAACCGCCCGTCCAGTGCAGTTGTCTGTACCTCCCAGGCTGTGCTCGAGGCAGGCGTCCTGGCTGGGCTGTGTTCTCCGACTCTGCCCCTGCTTCGACCCTTCCGGAGGCAGAGTCCGGAGGCTGGTTTTCTGTTTGTGGCTGTTCAGGATGCTTTTGGGTGGGCATCAGTGTGTGCGGGTTCGTCACTAGCAAGGTTGGCACTTCTACGGTTGGTTGTCCGGACAGCTCGGCCTCACCCTTCTGCACTTGAGGACTTAGACATACTTCCCAAGGGAGCCCAGAGGACATGGGGGCTCGTGTGAGCCAGGCCAGATCCGATGGCATCTGCTGTGGTTAGGTTTATTACAAGAGTTAAAAATGTTAACCTCCTGAGTTGTTTCCCAAAGTAATATTTACTGTTTGGAACTAAAAATCTTGGTCTTTCATTGATTACTTGTAAGTGTTGCTTCTGTTATCTTATTTAATAGGAAAGAAGTTCATTCCTGGAATGCTCTGACCATTGGATGAAACTTTGCTGAATCTGAGGGAAATAATCCATTTTAGTTAAATGACAAATATAAGTAATTTAAATTTTAACTGTCTTGATAGTATCTTGGTAATGTTATCCAAAAAATTGACTTTTTAGAGGAGTCTTGGGTGGTTAGGATTCATTTCGTTGGTCTCTGTGAACTTCCAGATTTCACTAGACTGTGCTGGGTTGCTTTTCTCGTGTGGCGTAGGACCTGTTGGTCCTGTGCTGGGTGCATGCGGGGAGGCCTCCCTGCGGTGGCTTTGACGCGGGTGGGTGGGAGGAGAGAGGGCTTGCTGGGTACCCGGCATGCGCGGTCGCCGTGCTGCAGGCCTGGTGGCATCTCTGGCCTCTCCTGCTGGCTCTCTCCCTCTGCCTTCATGGCCCTCTGCCTGCTCTGGGCTCACGGGCTCGTCCGATGGGCCGCCCCCTGCCTTCCAGCTAGTGAAGCTGGCTGATGAAAACCGAGGGCCGGCGAGGCGTGCGTCTCGCGCCACTCCACATCAGGATGGAGACCAGCAGTCACGTTCCTTTTCTCCCCCAAACCTTGCCCCTTCCTTGTAGCATAGTGTTTCTCACCCTTTAAAACTCACACCTGTCTTGATAAATTTTAAAATCTTTACTCGCCTTTGAAATTTTGATATATATTAAATTGTGACTCTGAGGAAGTCAAAGCATTGGTCACTTTCATTCTTCTCAAGCCTACAAGTACTCAGTAAAGTTCGCCTGTAAACTTTTTAGGTACTGATCCTTGTTAAGGGGGAAAAATGAAAGTTCTTGCCCCCGCCCCGGGGGCTCTCCTCTCTTCTCCGTCGTCACTGCGGTTCACCGAGTGCCGTCTCCTCGGCTCTCCTCCGCCTCTGGCCGTGCGCTTGCACAGACACGCTGGCGGCGGGCAGAGAGCAGGAGGGCGGGAAGCCCGCGTGAACTGGGGGTGCTGAAGACCTGCTGTCGCAGGGGCCGGGCCCCCGCCCACCTTCATCTGGTCGGGGCTGTATGCTCAGCTCTCTCGGAGGCTTTCCAGTTTTCACTCGTACAGAAGCTGCTGCTGTGAGCGCCACCCCCCACCCCCCACTTTTCTCACGTGAAACTTTGTGTGACGAATTCCTAGAAGTGGGATTGTAGTGTAACGTTAGGATGTGTACCCCACGTAGATCCGGTAGTAGTCTCTTCTTGACTGTTCTTTTTAGAGCATTTGTGACTTCTTCAGGATTTATAGGACAGCGTCAGGTCCAGCTGTGTAATTAATTGTATAGGGAACTCTCTGATTTGAACAAACAAAATACAAGCTTTTACCTCAGATGGGAGGTACGGAGCTCACGGAAGCTCGGCTGATGGAGCTCCTGTGCGGACGCACGAAGCAGCGGCGTGGCCAAGCTCCCACGTGCACGCACGCCTCACCTGGCTGGTTTTAAATTGCAGGGGTGAGTAGGAGATGGGTGCAGGAAGCGCTTATTGTTACAGTATTGTGTAAGTAGTGTTTTATATAACATTTTTATATGGAAATTGAAACTATAATAAATATCAGTGACTTTAAGATAACAATAAAAATCATTCCACATGGACCAGATGGAAGAAAATAAGACGATTTTTTTTGTCCTCCCAGGTGACTCCAAGAACCGAGGCCCCCGTCAGCAGCGTGAGTAATAGTTTGGAGAACGCACTGCATACATCAGCACATTCCACGGAGGAGTCGCTACCCAAGAGGACTGTGGGGAAACACTCCAAAGGTGAGTCTGTCTGTGTGAGGACTCCCAGGGAAAGAGGTGCACCAGGGTGTGGAAAGCAGATCTTTGTGATGCTGTGCGGTTAAATACTTTGAGATCTTTCATCAGCCGTGGTCTTTTGTATGGTACGCTATTTTTCTAAATTGTGCAAGTAATACACAAACATATCTTGGCTGTAAAAGTCTCAAATACTGATGTTTATTAAGGGGAAAAATGAAAGTTGTTGCACTCTCCTCCCTGCCCCATACCAAATAAGTCCTAAATTCTGGAGAAGGACTACCCTGTAGAACTTTCTGCAGTGATAATGGAATGTTCTCTCTCTGCACTAACTCAGGTGCCATCAGCCACATGTACCTTTTGAGCACTTGAAGTGAGCCTCATGCAACCAAGGACCTGAAATTTTATTTTTATTTCCTTTCCATTGGAACCGCGATAGCTCCGCGTGGATAGGGGCCACCATATGGGACAGTGCCGCTCTGGAGATGGCAGAGGGCACATTTCAGACGAAGCGGAGTCTTCTTGGTTCTTGGGTCAGCTGGACAGTCCAAGTGTCGCACTCAACCATGCAGTTGTAGTCTGAGTGGTGGCGTGGGGACTTCCCAGGAGGCGAGTGCAGGTGATGTGTGGGACTCGTGAGGGCCAGGATGGGCCCAACTTGGCCCTGTGATCAAGAGGCCCAGGGCACTCCAGGCTACCCGCCCCCTCCCTCACTGGCCTTTGCTCTCCTTTTGTTCGTGTCTCGGGCACAGTGTACCTCACGGGTGTTTCATAAATACTTCGTTTTTAAAATAAAGCCCCATTCTGAGAATCACAGAGCCAGCTGTCCCTGACTTAGGTCATAGGCTGGAAGTAGCCACATCCTAACTGCTGCCCTGTGTTTATGTGCATAAACGTGTTCTGGCACCAAAACCGTGAATCCTCGTAGGTCAGCTTCTGGATGGCGCCGTTGTTGAGGAGACGCAGCAGGGCTTCACCTCCCTGGATGGATAGTTGTCACTCAGGCATAGGGACTTTCCTACCCTGACACTGCTCTTGTCCTTTTTCCTTAGACATGTCGCCCTGGGGGAATTGCCTTCCAGTGAGGTGTTGTGTCCTTTGTCCCTCGACTGTCCAGCATGGGCCCTCTGCCCTGCACCCTCCTCATGTGGGGGGACGGCCTCCTCTTTCCCATAGTGCTTTTTCCTTGAGACATAATTATCAAGACCCCTCATTCCTATCTTTTAAATATAGTTGCAAGATACGTGACTGTTCTCTGTCTGTCCCTTGTCTGTGTGTGGTGGTGCTGAGAGCCCCGGGTGAGCTGGCTTTGGTATCAGGTGCAGCAAACGAAGCATAGTGAGCCAGGCGTTGTTAGTTGTCCACTGTGTTCTCCACTCAGTGGTTCTAAGTAAGAAGTTTCTTCTGCCCAGAATTTGGCAAGCAAGTGAAGTTGGTTTTCTTCGTCACGTTTCTCGTGACGCTCCGCGGGGCCTGGGCGGTTGCTCTTGGCAAAGCCTGAAGTCACTGCAAGTGTTATTACTATAGCGTTTTCTCGCTGTCTTTTCTATATTCTACTTGTATTTTGATTTTTCTCTGCTTCCTTGGAAGTCCTCAGTGATAAAAGAAGTCAGAACTTCCGTTTGTTTTGTATAAAAGTTCAGGGGATAGCACGGAGGACAGCCAGAAACTGACTGCTCTCGTCAGATGGCGTTCAAGGTGGCGGTCGTCTTTCCCTGTGCTCTTCATTGTGAAGATTTTCAAGTACGGGAGGAGAGGGACTGAGGCAGCCGTTCCTGGCATCTGGCTCCAGTGGCAGGTATGGGCTGTGCCCTCCTCAGGACCGCCACGCGGCGCTGCCGGGCTCGCCTGGAGAGAGCTCAGAGCCCGCGCATCCCAGCTCGCCGTACTGACGCGTAGGGAAACATCTGTGACGTACAGGGTGAGGCTGAAATTACTTGTAGTGATGCTCTCGGTGAGAGCGGTTCTTTAGCTTTTTCTGGGCTGGAGGAGTTATTTTTTAGAATTGTCCTTGTGTGGGGCGCCTGGGTGGCTCAGCCGTTAAGCGTCTGCCTTCGGCTCAGGTCATGATCCCAGGGTCCTGGGATCGAGCCCCGCATCGGGCTCCCTGCTCCGCGGGGAGCCTGCTTCTCCCTCTCCCACTCCCCCTGCTTGTGTTCCCTCTCTCGCTCTGTCTCTGTCTGTCAAGTAAATAAATGAAATCTTTAAAAAAAAAAAAAAAAAGAAAGGCATAGAATTGTCCTTGTGTGAGACTGAGAGTCTCAGCAAGCTCAGTGACACCACAGACCGCTTAGCTGCGGTCCTAAAACCTGGTCTCCAGACCGCCTTGCATTCTTAAAGCTTGAGGATTCCAAAGAACTTTTGTTTATGTAGGTTATACCTATAGATATTTATCATATTAGAAGTTAAAACTGGGATTTTTTTTTTTTTTTTCCTGAATAAATGCTTTTTGTCGTGCACCACTGTGGTTTTTGTGTTTGTTGTGCAGCAGCTTTAGGACACAGGGAAACGTCAAGGTCAAGCTCCAAAAGTCTCGTCCTGTTGGTGACACAGAGTTAGAGTAGGAATTCTGATAAGAAGCACGACCATAAAACCAGGCTTCTGGAAGACCGGTAGTGGCTGCCTTGCTCATGCAGCCCTGGGGATCAAAGGTGCGTTTGGAACTGAGGCGTTTGGATCATTTTAATTTGTCTGTTGGCTCTCTCAACATTTTATGAGGACTTTGAAACATACAATGAAGTTCAGAGAATTTTACAGTGAACACCTACCATCCAGATTCCATAATTTCATTTTATTTTACCTGCTTCTTCCCTTATCTATCTCTCCATCCATGAAGACATTGCATTTTTTGGTGTATTTCAGAGTAAGTTGTTCTGTTGACTTTTTTGCTATGTTTTTGTGCATTATTATTTTTTCAAAACTGGTTGTTTGCAACCTTCCTCAGCCAACAAGTCTCATTCGAAGCACAGAACAGAGCTGTCTGAGTGACGGTTTCTCATCCCCTAAAGAAGGAGTGACCTGGACACATAGGAGTCGAGCTGACCATCCCCCAGGGCTTCTTTCAGACAGCAGGGCTCAGCTCTGTTGGACCCCCGTCGAGGGAAGCCACCGGGGTCACGGCACACATCTGTCACTTCTCAGGCCTTGCCTCGAATTCATAGCCACCCACTGGATGCAGAGCGCGAGAACCGTGCAGTCTGCCCAGCGGTGTACTGAAGCCCGGCGTGCCGGCCCACGGGGCCAGCTGTTCAAAGTGCAGCAGGGTTTTGGCCTCTTGATGTCCTGTTGATGGCAGAGAATCGGCCGTGGTGGAAGTACTTAACACCTTGGAAGTGGGTACGGGCCGCAGAGGAAGGGCTGTCCCGCAGCCAGCCGTGACACGTTCTGCAGAGGTCCGCTGCAGTAGCGCCACCCCCCCAGCCTGTCCTGTCTGCTGTGGTTGTGTCCGCCCCACGCACGCGTGCTGTGCACCCGCAGCCCAGCTCTGGGAAGAGCAGGTGGTTCCCTGTGACCCGTGAGCCCCGGAACCCTGACTTCAGCACCCTCCTGTCCCAGGCTGTCATGAAAGGTCGCGACACGTCAGCTCTTATCTTCGCTTGGCATATCTGGTCTACCCCCGCCCACCACCACCTCTCTGTCCTCTCTTGGTTTCTTTCCGTTTTTAAACCGTGGACCATCCTACATCCAGAAGCATTGGGGTGGCGTGCTCCGTTGGTCTCCTGGTAACACACGTCCCGGTTCTCCTCTTGCCTCTCTGTCTGCTCGCTCCCTGTGAAACCCCCGCTTCTGTCGGCCCCTGAGACGCTGGTGCTGTCTGGCCTCCTCTCTGGTATCCACTCACGCTCTGTTGGAGTGTCCTCTGTTCACCTATTGATGACTTTTAAGATCTGAGCGTTCAGCTGAGACCCTTGCCGGGGACCCCGAATCACTGTGAATATTTCCACTGAGGTGGCCTGCTGGTGCCTCTGCTCTGTGCCCGGAATGGACCCATCACTCCCACTGCTGCCCCTAAATGAGTTTCCAGTATACGCGATGGGTGCTGACTTTCCGGTGTTTGTAGCCACACTTTCAGGCCAGCCCAGCTCCCTGCCCCACACGAGGGGCTCAGCCTCACAGCCCTGGCGGGTGTGGCTCTGGGGGCCATCACTGTGGCCGCCATCCTGGTTCAGGCCTCCATCCCCTCTGCCACCTGTGGGTTCTCCTGTCCGTCCGGTCCATCCCCAAGCAGGGACCCGCCCTGCAGCTGGACCACAGTGCCCCTACTCAGGAATGGGGCTTGCACTAGGTGCCCCCCTCAGTGTGTGTGTGCCCCTCATTGATGTCACAGGCCTGTGAGGTAGGGACCGGTCTTCCTTTTGTTCAGGGACTCAGTAACTACCCAAGGTCACTGAGCTGGAAGGTGTCACATTTCTAACGGAACCCATCTGACAGCAGAGCCCACAGGCTTACCTTGACCTGCCTGGAGGAGGCCCACTGTGGGGTTTGTGGGATTTGTGGGCCGGCCTCATCTTGTCCTCTGCTCTGGTCTCTTGTCACTCCTCTGAGTTGCTGGCTCTAGCCGTGAGCAAACTTCCTCAGACGCCCTGCTCTGTCCTGCCTGGGCCTTGATCACCACGTCCCTCTGCTCAGATGGGCTCTTCCCTTTGAAGTCCACCTCTCGTGTCACTGCTGTGAACTTCGTAATTTTTGTGTCACTTATGGTTAGTGCTGTGCCTGGAACATACTAATGCTGAATAAAATGTTTGCCTTAATATTTAAATAAGTGAAAAATCCTTGGGCCCTTAGATTCAAGTGCCATATCACTAACCATTCAAATAGAATATATATGTGTTCATTTCCTACTTTTGCTACCTGAGAAGTACCTTTTATCAGCTTTATATTTTCTAGATCATGCCATGCACTACTCTTGTTTCTATTTATATTTCTAGAGAATTAAATCAAATTAATGCAAGGTAGCTAGATAAAAAAAAATCAAAGAAAAACAAATTAGGGAATTCTTAAATATAACATGATATGTCCTAGAAAGATGTCAGAGAGGAGGAGGGTCAGGTTAATCAGTGAAGTAGTGAATGCTCAGATTTTAACAATAGCTGAAAAACTGCTTCTAAAAATGATCCCCACTAACATGGACAACCACACGGAAGGGAGAAAGTCTGTCCATACATGACGAACGTTACTATTCAGCTGAGACCTTTAAGAATATAGTTTCTCAATTTTTAGATGAAAACTAGATTTCAGTAATAAAAATTTAAGCAGGAAGCATCTTTTTTTTTTTTTTAAAGATTTTATTTATTTATTAGAGAGAGAGAGTGTGCACAAGCAGGGGGAACGGCAGGCATAGGGAGAGGGAGAAGCAGGCTCCCCGAGGAGCAAGGAGCCCGATGCGGGGCTCCATCCCAGGACCCTGGGATCATGACCTGAGCCGCAGGCAGACGCTTAACCAACTGAGCCATCCAGGCGCCCCTAAGCAGGAAGCATTTTAAATGTTATTCTGGTTCAGTTTCTTTATTTTAAGTAGGAAGACATTGAGTTCTTTTGTATAGGACTCGGGAGAAGGAGGTGTTTGTGCCAGGGGGGATGATCATGCATCTTTTCCCGCAGTCATAAATGATACACTTCTGGCTTTGATGGCTTGTAGCATAGTTTTGGTAAGTTTTGAAGTGCTTTCCTATGTGGGGCACATAGAAATTAAACTGTTTGACCAAAGATACATCGAAATCAAGTAAAGGATCTATGGCAGAAAAGTACCAACCACTCAGTTTTTTCCGGAAGAGTTTAGGGTACAAAGGGAAGTTTCAGAAGAGTGACTCATTCTTGGAACACATTAAAGCTATTACCTATGGGTGTCTGAGATCTACGTGTGACATGACAGTCAGCTCTTGTAAATCACTTGAAGGTGCTTGGCAGTGAGGGTGACCCTTAGAACATGGCCGTTTGAACTGGGAACTCCCAGGGCTGCGATCGCGAGAATGTGTTCCTGGTCCCGGGTTTGTCGCTGCCGGCTGAGAGGCCTTTGGGTCTGGCTCAGCCGTAAACCGTCTGTGACTTTTTGCCAGCCCCCGCCCCCATTCAGATGCCCAGTCCTGCTTCAGGATGTTTGGAACCCCCGCCTGGACTGCTCGAGCAATGCCTTTGTAGTTCTCTCCCACACCAATTCCCTCCCACATTTTCCAGTTACATTAGCGTATTGGTTTTTTAAATTAGGTATCTATCCAATGATAGAAGTGGTAGTTCATTGCAATTAGATGTTTTATTGACGGCCATGTGGTCTGGCTTGCAGGACTGGAGGCAGATTCCTCATGTGCATCTTGAATGAGAAAAGGAGGAAAGTTAAAACAAACCATCTTAAAAGGAGAACTCACATCCCACTTTGCTTTCTCAGTTTAGCATAAGCGAGCCGGCTGGCCTAGACTCGGGTACCCTTGCCTGGAACCCGTCGGTCCTCGACAGATGTGCCTGCATGCAGTCCAGACCCCAGCCCGTTGCTCCCCACATAGGAGCCCTCCTGCCCGGTCCACCTTCCAAGTGCGCTTCTGTCTGTGGCCTTTCTGTCTGGGAGTCGTTGTGGGCGACGCGAATCTCATCCCTACCTGATGGATTGATTTCTAGCCCCTCAGACCTAGCCATGATTGCTTGCGCTCTTCAGAAAACCGTGAGACTTGTACGTGCCGGTTAGATGACCATCTGCAGGACTGACCAGGGCGGTGTGAGGAACAGGGATCTCACTATATCTAGCAGGAGAGAAGTGGATCGTAAACAGATGTTTGTGTACATATGGGAACGAATACCCTTTAAAATCATGAAACTACGTTATGGAAATTTGGGATAAATACTCATAATTCTACCACCAAGCCCAGTGATCCTTGTCAGCTTTGATAACTTATTTTTCATCTTTCTTTTACATTTTAAACAGGTATAGCCATGTTACACATACAATTTGTAATTTTTTAGTTAATATTACAAGGTCTTTCCATGTTTTTGTTCTTGAAATCGGGTCTTTAACGTGAGCTCCAAACTTGAGAACATGTTTGACCATCTTTGAAGCGTAACGAAAGACCCCTAGCCCCAGCCCGCGTCAGCCGCTGTCGCCCCCACGCCCGCTGCAGGTGTCTCCACAGGGACAGGCCCACCGCAGGTGAAATAGCACAGCTCCCCCGCGGTGCCTGGTGCCCGAGCCGCACACGCTGCCCGTGGGGGGGCTGGTGGCGCCGCTCGCTCCGACCGCCGTCCTGGACAGGCCTCCCAGACTGCAGCCACAGAGCTCCAGATGCCTCTGTTCCTCGCAGACAGCTGGAACAGCGTTCATCTGCTTTCCACATTCTCCTGTCCAGAGATGAGTCACTTCCGCCTTCAGTCCAGTTGGGGTTTTCTCTCTTGACTTTTTTTCATAAATCCTAATATTATTCAGTCCTGAGACATTTAGGTGCGCTTTGCTGTCCTGTGGCCGGGGAAAATGCTGACTACATTTTTCTGTGTTCATGGACTTCGTATGTTCTGTTGTTTAAAAAGGGGGAAGACCTCTAGGTTAGAGTGATGTCATTGTGGGTCGGTTTTTTAAAAATGCCTATTGGGAAAACATAAAAGCTGTTTATTTGCTGGCAGTCTGATGGAGGAGGCCAGACAGGAACAGCGAGTGGTTTCACTGAGTGAGAATAGGGAGGTATGCAACCTCGAAATGTGTGTTCTTTGTTTTGCTAGAAAGGAAACACTTTTTTTTTTTTAAGTAATTCCTTCCTGTAAGGTGCTATTTTAAGCTTAAGATACTTCATACCGAATGGCTTCTCGTATCTCCCGAGATGCATATCGACCCTGATGCCACTTTACAAAATTAGGGAGGCCTCAGAGAGAACCGTTTAGCAGGTGAAGGGTCTTCCCCGAAACAGCCAGTAACCTCTGCGAGTGTGAGGACCCATCTGTCACGTTCGCTGCTCTGTTCACAGCCCCTAGAATTTGACCTTGCGCACAGTAGGAATCTGATAGGACATGTTGGTGAGTGAGCAGGTTTGTTGGTTTTAGAGCAGGGATCGCATATTTTTCTGCACAGATCCAGATAGTAAATATTTTTGGCTTCGGGAGGCATAGGGTCTCTGGCACAATGGCTGGGCTCTGCTGTCGTGGGGTGGAGGGCGGCCACTGACAGTAGGTAAACAAAAGGCGTGGCTGCGTGCCAACGAAGCTGTTTACACAAGCAGGCCCAGGGCAGCCTCCAGTTGGCCAGCCCCGCTTAGACCCGCGCTGTCCAGTGGAAGTCTCTGTGATGACCGAATGTTCTGTGTACTGCACAGCATGGCAGCCACTAGCCCCATCTGGCTGTGGAGCACTTAGGATGGGCTTACTGCAACCAAAGAAGTGGATTTTTGATTCTGTTCGGTTGTAATTAATACAAATGTAAATAGTCCCATGTGGTTAGTGGCTGTGGTGTTGGGCGTTGCAGGGTTAGAACCTTCCCCGAAGCACGTTGCACAGAGTGGTTTGTTGTTCTCTGGGAGGTCTGTACACGGGAGGGGAAGAAAGAGTTCTGTGGCCCCCAAAACTGGGGAATTGTTAATAAGAATAGACTTGTTCATTTCAGGACTGCTCAGAGCCTTTAATATTCTAATGTAAAAGACAGTCTACCAGAAAGTCTTAGATTTTTTCCTCTGAGCTTTTTGACCGTGAAGCTTTCTGGGGGTGCCCTTGAACATCTTAGAGCACCGGTGTTCTTGGAGAAGACCTTGGGAGATGCCGGTGTGGCAGGCCAGGCCAGGACGCTGGGCGTCTGCAGGACATGGAGCTTAATAGTTTCAGAGGTTCTGTTAAGTGCTTCCCCTTGGACAGTTAGGTTTGTGGCCATGGACTCTCTGGGGCTGTGAAAACTGACATGGAGGAAGACGTGTGTAACACGCACGTACTGAAGCCCCTCGTCTGTCGTGGACTCTGCTCGTTCACTGCATAGGGGGGTGACTGGACTGTCCGTGTCTGCAGACAACATAGACCCTCCAGGAATCCGTCCCGTTAGCACTTGAGAAACATTCTCATTTGAATTGGAAATAGGACGTGCACACCTTCGTGTGTGTGGTTTTCGACTTTGGAACGGGCATCACGTTTGTAAGTGGCTGTTTTATCTTCAGCAAATGTTTGTGCTCAGATATTTGCATTTTCATACTGTAGTTTAAGTGCGTAAGAACTTAACTGTACCCTTTTGGTTCTGAGGAGACACAGGATGCAGCCCTGTGAGTTCGAGGGCAGAGCAGGACCTGTCGCGCGGGGGCTGGGGCCGTGCTTTGTCCCCTGCGGCGCTGGCGCTGGGCCGCTGCGGCCCCGGACTCCCCGTTCTGCTCTTCAGAGGCAGCGCTAGGAGCCTTCCGTGCTGCCTTGACTACCGCCAGCCGGGCCCTGTCACAGGACCGTGACACCGTCACAGCCGACAATGTGGAATTTTCCCGAGGTCGGAGCAGATCCTACCACATCTGCCCTCATAATTGGGGTCTGTACCCTCGTGCATTCCCATCAACTCCTGTTCTTTTTCCAAGGACCGTTCTCTTCCTTTTCTATGATTTGTTTTCATGTTTGGCCTTTTTTTTTTTTTTTTTCCTGTTCCGCTTTTAAATTCCCCTCCGTTCCCGAGTGTGACAGCGTTCTGCTTTCCATTTCCGCCCCTCCTCCCAGGCGAGCACTCGGCAGAGGAGAGCGAGCGGCGCCGGCATCTGAAGCCTCGTTTTGAAAATTGCTAAAATATCAAATGCTAACTAATATGTGCCCCAAGGTTTTATTTCATTTTTATAATTTTGTTTGTTGTTGTTGTTGTTTTTTGCTTTTACAGTGAGTGTTGAAAAGATAGACCTGAAGGGATTATCTCACAAAAAAAGTGAAAGAAATGTTGAATGTTCCTTTGAGGTAAGATGCCAAGTTTTTTTTCCCTTTTCTCCTCTGAGGGGTAGGAAGGAAACATTTGCCATGAGTAGATACTTAGCTTGATCTAAGTGGAAGATGGGCTCTACCAGTGAGTGCTGTGGGAGGCAGAAAACCGGGCCTGGGCCACGGGCGGGCAGTCTCCCGAGAGCCTGTGTGCTGAGCGTGGTCTAGACCGGCGTGCTCGGCTGCTACTGCTCGGTCACCACAGTCGGCTGACACAGGGACACCGTGTGAAAATTGAGACGCACGGCATATGAGGATTGGAGGCCCCCAGGAACCGTGGCTCAGCGGCCTCACAGTGTGCCGGGAGCTGTGCTCCATGAGGCCCTTGGGGGCCTGGGCTCCCCCCAGTTGACTGCCTTGATATCCCTGGGGTGTGCGCCCTCAGCCTCATGGTCCAGGGTAGTAGCCAGGGCGCAGGTCCTCACGTTTTCATTCCAGGTAGCAAGACACAGGATGAAGAGGAGGGAAAATTTTACTTCTCTCTCTCTTTTAAGGAAAAGCGGCCTGAAAGCGGCCACTAGACATTTCCATTTATGTTTTGTTGACCCAAACTTAGTTTCTTGGTCCTGCTTAGCTGCAGAGGAGGCTGGGAAATGTATCCTGGCTGGCCATATCCCCAGGGTTCTGTTACTTGGCTGTCATGTTGTGTGAGGTTCTCCTTTGACCATGTGCCTGAACACTGATTGATAAGGGAAATCTGCTTCCTGTATTACTAGGGAGTGTTCTCAGGAGTAAAAGCTTCTGGTTCGTATCTAGTTTGTATGCTCTGATGCTGTGTGTGGTTCACTAACTTTCCAGAGGGTATAGATGCATCGAAATACTTTAAATAGTCTCACCACTAAAAGGGTAACATCTTCATTTGATTCGGAGGGTGTACTGCATTGTGAGAATCCCTTGTTTCGCTATGCATGTGTCTTCAGAACGTTCGGGAAAGACTCACCTAAGGTTTTGGAGGCTGTCGAAACTTGTGACCAGCACCCAGGTCTCAGCACCCGGAGAACCTTGGAATCCCAACACCTTCAAGGCCTCGTAGAGGTGGGAGCCTAGCAGGTCCCTAGAGCCCTGAGCATGTTGTTTTCCCTCCACCATGCTCTGGGTCTCACGGCCGGACCTCCCCTCGCGATCATCCGCCTCCACACGGCTGAGCCATTCTGGGGGGTGGGCCCCACTCAGCCCGTCCTCGGGCCTACAGCCTGGGCTTGTACAGTGTGAGATGTGGTGACTCTGGCTGGTGTGACTGCCTGCAGCTTCTCTCTGAAGACGTGAGCTTTGGCAAAATACACACTTGGCCTCTCGTGGCCTTTCGGAGGAGGTGGGAGTTACGTTAGGAGTGGGGAGGCAACAGGCTGGTGAGGACGGGGACACGGTGGCCTGAGTGCTCTGCAAGCAAGCTGCACAACTCCAAAAGGAGCCGGGAGCCCTGAGCTTGCGGCCCTGGACTCTGGAGTGCCCCTGGTGTCGATGCTGTCACAAAGGGTGAGGTGTGTAGTTGAAGGTGTTTCTACCCCAGTGGGTGAGCTGAAGTGTTTTAAGACTTAAAGCAAAAGCTTTGGTTATCTGCGATTCTTACTTTTCCTGAAGTGATAACTGACAGAAGTATTCTTGTGTTTAGGAAAGTGAGCATTCCTCTCTAACCCAGAAGTCCAAACTAGTTTTTCTTTTGGGGTACTTTTTCTCTTTTCTTTTTTTTAAGATTTTATTTACTTGCGAGAGTGAATGAGTGGGAGGAGGGGCAGAAGGAGAGAGAGAGATCGAATCTCAAGCTGACTCCATGCTCAGCACGGAGCCAGACATGGGCTCAGTCCCTGAGATTATGACCTGAGCCGAAATCAAGAGTCAGACGCTTAACTGACTGAGCCACCCAGGCGCCCCTTGGGGTACTAACTGGATATGCCCTGAGGGACTCCAGCCCAAACTGTGTTTGTTGAATGGTAACTCGAGGCGCAAAGGAAAGATAGGATCGACGTTAAAAAAAAATATGTTTTGACCTTGTTATTCCAAAACACTGTTCATTTGCACAGCTTCAACCGTGTGCTTGTTTTGTGTGGGGCTGGGAGGGTGCTGCTGATGGCTGCCATTCACGTGTCAGGCTGGAGACCTGTGTCATGCGAGGGAGGCTGTGCACATTGGGGAGTGTAAGTGCGGGGGCTCCCGCCAGCGACATGCTCCGGAGAGAGGAGAGCTGAGGGCAGGCGGCCCGAGGACAGTGGCGGGCCCACCTAACTACTCACCTGCTATCGTTGGAAATGACTAGCCTCAAAAATAAGCCCCAGCAGGAATTTTCTGTCTTAGAAATCAACAAGCTAGCCCTAAAACGTATATGGAAAGAACAACAGAGTAGTCAAAACAGTTTTGAGAAGAAGAATAAAGTTGGAAGCTGCACACTGCCTGTCTCGGAGACTCGCCATTAGACTACAGGGACACTGGCGCATGGGGTCGCCGTGAGCGTGGGGCACCGGTCAGCAGGTCGGAGCACAGAGTCCAGAGTTAGACTCACGGGTCAGTGGCCGATTGACAGGCCAGCAGTTCCGTGGAGAAAGGACGGTCTTTTCAACAAATGGCTCTGGAACCCTTGACCAAACCTCTCACCTCACATAGAAAACTAAGTCAAAACTGATCATAGTCCTAAGTGTACAACCTAAACTGATAAAAGTTCTGGAAGAGAGCCTTCAAGACTGTGTGGCTAGGCAGAGATTTCTCTGCTATGGCACCAAGAACATGATCCGTGAAAGACAAAATGAATACGTGAGACTTGATCGGAGTATCGAACTTGCTCCTGGAAAGGCACCCTGAGGGTGAGGAGACGGCCGAACAGGATGCAGACTAGGAGACATTTGCACGTTACATATTTGATAGACAGTTTTCATCCCAAGTAGATAAAGGACTCTCAACACTCAGTTATAAGAGAGCAACCCAGTAAAAAATGAGCCAAAGATTGGAACTGACGTTTGGAGGGCGCACACCCCACGGGAGCAGATGTCCGGCCCCACCAGTCATTAGGACCGTGACCAATGGCGCTGCGGGCCTGCAGCACGGCTACAGCTGGAGACGGCGCACAGCAGCGCTGGGACTCTCCCCGGCGGCCGGAGCATGTACTCAGGGCTACGGCCTCTTTGCCAGGCTGTCTGGCAGTTTTATAGAGAGCTAAACTTTTCCCTAAAGTATGACCCATCAGTTCTACCACTAGGTATTAATCGACGGGAAAGGAAAGCGTTTGATCACATGGAGATTTGTACGTGAGTGTTCACGCCAGCTTGATACGGCGGACCACCCTGAGTGTCCGTCCGCAGGAGAATGGATAAACCCGTGGTGGTTCTGGAAACACCGTGGAAGACCACCCAGAGTGGAAAGGACTGAGCTATTGTTACACTAGCAACGTGGAGAAAACTCAGACAATTGCGCTGTGTGAAAAAAACCAGACCCTTTGCCACAAAGGATATATGGTGTGAGCCCATTTACATAAAATTGTAGGAAACACCAACTGTCTATAGTGAGAGAAGGCACACAGTGGCTTCCTGGGGAGAGGAGGAGGGAATGTTTGGGGGTGATGGACATATTCGTGGTATTGATGGGAGTGATGGTTTCCTGGATGTAAACATATGGCCAGACTTAGCACATTATGCCCTTTGGATAGGCGTGGTTTATCGTCCTTTAGCACTCAGTACAACTTTAAAAAAAAAAAAAGGTCACCTAGGATTAAGCCTTGCTTTTTGTCCACAGAACCCTAATTAATGAAGATTAAATAAATTGTCCTTTAAGTAACCCAGAGATGTGTTAAAGTATGTGTCCACATGCTTTAAGTATGTGGAAGTAAACAGCTACCATACTGGGACCAGAGCCATCAAGCACCTTCTAGAAGCGCCGGCCATCCTGGGCCGCGATGGGACGGCTGTGCTGGCCGCAGAGGGAGACGCAGAGAAACCTCTCTCCTGCCGGCCTCCCTGGCTCCGGAGGGGCAGGTGGCCTCTGCCCACCGTTTCCTCGGTCCTCTTTATCTCTAGTTTCACTTTTTATGGATCAGTGTTTTCCAGGGGAACAAATGAAAGGCTTCTTTTATAGGAAAGCCTACGTAGCTGAAGTGAGATGCTTCTCGTATGTAAACATGTACTGCAAATAGGAGTCTGCGCCTCCTGTTCTTTTCCATGGGGTTGGTTGTGTTTTCACTGGAGTCGGAGCCGCTCCATACTGGTTCCTGAGGAGCCACATCAGGGCGCAGGAAGCCAGAGGCTGCACACAGAGTCAGCTTGCAAGTACGCACATGTGGAGTGTCCAGATGTTACCAGTTTTCCCAGATTCACTGTTGAAAAACTGGAATGAGTAAAACTTATTTTAGTAAAATGATTTCCTGTTCAAAGTGAAGGATAGAGAGGGAAAATACCAGAAGATGTCCCAACCCCTTGAGGCACCTCCTAGACTGTAGAATTTCAGCAACTTGGAAAGAACTGGAGAACAGTGCCGGTCAAAACCATTCTTTCTGAAGAACCCAGGCATCGCATTTACTTTAGTGCTCTATCTTTTCCTTGAAAGTTTTATGTTTTCATCTCAAAATAATCTTAACTGCTCTGAATATCTTACTGCCATTAGCAAAGATGAGTCTTAACAACTATTCTTTTAATTTAGTTTGTGTTTTCATCAGCTGTTCTTGCGGAATTGAGAGTGCAGTAATCCTGCGAACATTGCCAAGAGAGCAGGGAACTGTTTGTTTTGACGCGCATGTTCGAGTGACTGCGTGAGGGTTGCTGATCCTGGAGCCACATGGTGCATGCTCAGGGCTTTCCCTCGAGTCGTCTCTGTGTTTGCTGGTTTGTTTTTTGCTTAGGGACAAGTTCTTAGAAATGACTTCACTCCAAAAGTCCTGTGATTGTCTGAAAGTACCCCCGTTGCGCTCGGACAGGCCCAGCGCCCTGTGGTTCTGCTGCCACGTGGACCCGATGGCCCTCGGTGAGCCCCAGCTCTCCCCTTCATCCCCACCCGCACGGCCCCTCCCTCCTTACAGGCGCCATCCCCTGTTCTCGGGTCTTACGTCGCCCTCTTTCTGGTAGCTTCTTAGAAAGGGCACTTGGGAGGTCCTACTTCTGGGGCCTTCCATGTCTGGACATGCCCCCCCCCCCCCCAAGTGTGACTGAGAACACAGGCGGAGGCTGGGCGTCGTTCTTCCTCAGGGATCCGATGCTCTGCTGACTTCCCGCCTCCTGGTCCTGAGCTCTGGCACTTTGGACGGTTTCCTCAGTCCTGGGTGTTTGCATACCGCTCACCCATGCTTGGCTGTGGGTCTGTTTTCATCACTGTGCTGGCACTCAGTGGGCCCTTTTAACTTGAAAACTCACATCCATAATCTGGGGGCCCTGTCCTGAATCTTCCCTTTTGGTTTCCTCTGCTTTGTGTTTCTCTGTTTGCTTGCTTTGGAACTCCGGCTGTCTGCATATTGGACCTCATATTGGCCTGGTCCTTTGTTTGATTTTTTTCTCTGTTTTCTCTCCTTTTGATATTTCGATCTACTCGAGGGAGGACTGCGTCATCTCTCCCCTTCATCAGTGGGGTTTTTCACCCCTGTCCTGGTTTCAGTTTCAAAGAATACTTGTTCTCTGACAATTCTTTTTTCATAGCATCCTGTTCTTGGCTATGCTTTTCTTCTCTTAGATCACCGAGAATATTGGTAGTTTTTAGTTTTTTAAAACTATGGTCTGTGTTTCAGCCTGGCTGCCTTGAGCTCTTCGAGGCCGGTGCTGGATGTTCTGGTGCTGGGCTGCCGGCTCACGTCCGTGGTGCGGCAGGAGTCGTGGGCAGGGCCTCTGGCTGGGCTGCTCCCTGGGCAGAGAGAACATTCTGCTCCACGTGCTCCAGAGTAGAGTGCTGTGGGTGACCCGGGGACATTGGGGATGGAGCTGTCAAGTGAGTCAGAGGACTGAGATGTAGTGTGACGTCGTCCTAAGTATCTGTTTTGTGCATGTTTTGCTTTTTGTGTACACTTAGGGTATTTTACGGTCTGGCTTAGTGAGGCTGTGCAGCTCTTCAAACAGGTACAAGTGACAGGAAACCACACTGCCATCATTTATTCGGCAGCTTTTTTCTTGGCGGTACGTAACATAACGGGGTCGCTCACGGTTGGTGCCGCCTCGGGTTTGGCGGGACGCGTGTGTAGCACGAAGCACGCCGTGAGGCTCTTCTGTGTCCGGGCCCCTCCTGGGCCTGTCCCCTCCTCTGGTGCAGGTGCCTGGCCTGGCGGGTGAGGCCGAGGGTGAGCGTGAGGAAGCCCGGGCCCGCCGCACAGTGTGGTGCGTCCCGGGAGTGAGCCCTCGCTTTCTGTCTGTTCAGACTGGAGTCTGGAAGGACAAGTAAAGCATCGGGAGCTGGCGGCCTGGAGTGCTGGTGCCTGTTGGAAGCACGTTGTTGTTGGGGAAGCAGGTTGTCTGTTTGAGCATAGCACGATACGTCTGTGCTGCGCGCGCAGCTTGGACGTTGGGGTTCGTGCTTTTGTGGGCTTTAAGGTGCATTTGTGCTACGTGAATGTGCACGAGAAGAGAGTTGGGTTTTGATCTGGGTTTAAGAGTCACAGGGAAAACAAAAATCCTCCACCACGTGCTGCACCGTGACCAGCCCAAGATGTCAGCAGTGCTTGGGGTCCAACATCTAAAGACCAGAAAGTTTCTGCCTTTCATCCTAGATGGTGCTGGGGTTTCCTTGGGTAGCAACTTGCCCCGAACTTGTGCTCAGTGCTGTTGGTGAGATTTGTCTCCAACAAAAGCAGGTTGGGGTCTGCAGCTTGGTGTAGGTCCATTTGGGCGGCGAGGCCCGTTCACTCAAGGAGCACCAGCACTGCCGCATCAGTGAGCCCCAGGCGCCCCGAACTCAGAGATCGGGGAGGATTCCCTTTCCTCTGCTGGCTTGCGTTTCCCGGGAGCTCAAGGAGACAGCCACCGTGGTGGTGGTTTCGTGGTGCGGCAGCTGTGGGGACGGGAGGGACACGTGTGGGGTTCAGCAGAGGAAAGGGGACGTTGGGTCCATCGGCAGCCACAGTAGGCTGTTTCTCAGAAGGCGCGGACAGGTGGCGGGAGCAGCGGGGTCTTCCAAACCGCCACGCTCCGTCTGCTCCATCACTGCGAATACAGCGCTTTCTTTTTGGTCGTTTTACTTCGTGACTTGAGGCCCTCTGGTGGCTTCTTCTGGATCTGAGGGCCAAGTTCCTGCTTCCCAGTCTCACCCTTCTGGTGGCCCTCCCGCCTCGCCCCTGCTCGCCTCTTGCTGCAGTGGATTCCCTGCTTCCCGGCCCCGCTCCCGTGTCTGAGTGCGGCACGCCCCCCACCAGTCCTCAGCGCCCCAAGGTGGTCAGGAAACACTGGAGAAGCACCGGGAAGACGGAGGGAGGAGACGTCCCCCCAGGACGCCTGCAGTCCATCATGTAGGGGGACTGGCTGGGACGCGGTGATGACACGAGGCCTCCCGCCCGCCACACGCAGCGCGGAAACGCAGCCGTGTGCTCGGGTCTCGGGCACGCCCAGCACTGCGGGGCTGCTTGCAGAGAGCCCTTCCTGCTGCTCTCTCCGGAAGGTTTCCGCCCCAGCCTGCACCCTGGCCGCTCCCTGGGTGCCAACTGCCCCGGCCCCCGTTCTGTCAGGTTCCCGAGGGCGGGGGCCTTGTCTCATTTTCAGCAGCAAGGAGGTCCCCTTGAGGACAGTGTGCCCGGGCACACACACGCAGTCGTGATTGTCGGTGGCTGCGTACAAGTTTGTGGAGCAAGCCTCAGACTCCATGCTTGAGTCATTTGGTGATATTTGAATAATGGCACAAAACAGGAAGCGAAGCCTTAAAGGACTTGAGTTACGTGAACTTTTCTCTCACGAGTCGGGGGATGTGTAACTACCCCATCCAGCAGGTGCACCACACTTAGGGCTCAGCACGCTCACTGCACCTGTGCCCGTGGAGACTCCCTGGACAGGTGTGTTGTGAGGGACGTACGTGGCGTCTGTTTTTAAGGTTTGTTTGTTTGTTTGTTTTTAAGGTCTTGTGGTCTGATTCTTCAGTAACATCAGTAACCAAATCTTCCTCTGAAGTGACTGAATTTATTTCAAAGGTAAGGTGATTAAGGGCTCTTATAAAAATTAAAAGGCTCTCGATAATACTGCAGAGTGATTTCAGTGGATTGCTTCCTTCAGCTGGCAGAACAAGTAATTCGTGCATGACCATAAAAACATGGTCCTCGGTGCCACGATCCCCGCTCCTTGCAGTTGTTGAGAATGAGAAGAGGCAGGACGCTGTGACCCGCACAGGCGGCTGAAGGGTGTTTGCTTCGGTTACTCTGCAGAGAGACTGAGAGAGAGTCCAGTCCCAGCTCGATCTGTTGGACATGCTGGGTTTTCCTCTTCATTTTCTGATGGCGTCAACAAACGTCATCCAAACAAAAGGTTCCACTGCTAAATGAATACCGCTTTGCCCACTTAGACGTGTGTCCATACATACATACATGCACACCTCCACGGTTACAATGTGTTTGCAGTCCACTGGCCCGGGCCATCACAGTGAACCGCTGTTGCTAGCCAAAGCATCTTAATTCGTCCCCTTTGTCTCATGGAGGGACATATCAAAAGTGTCTCCAAAGCGAATCTTAACGTTTTCACTATAAAATCAAGGATGTAATCCTGTAGGAGAAAATCCAGTGGATGGATCGTATTTTAAAAGCCTATTCAGAAGTTGTCTGCTCATGCCTCTCCTCTTGGCCTGTCAGCCATGCTTTCTGGGATTACTGGTCCCCCCCCCCCCCCCCGGAATTCACGTTTTTGTCTGTGACGCGGAGGACGCTACATTTCCTCTCCTGCGTGCCTAGCCTCTCGTTTATAGAACACCCATTGCTCTGGACTGCACTAACACGGGCGCAAACTTTGACCCCACTGGGTGCTTCATGCTCACCTGGCTTTGTGTTCTCTGACCTTCCTGGATACCTGGTTTGTTGTCTCTTGTTAATTTTGGAGAATTCTTCCCCATTATCTCTTCAGATACTTCTTCTGCCCCCCTCTCTCTCTGCCTTTGGACTTGAACTCTGTGCACCTGGACCTTTGACATTGTCCACAGCTCTTGAGTGCCCTTTTTTTTTTCTTGCTCTTTTCGCTGTGTGTTTCGGTCAGACGATTTCCCTTGCCCTGTTCTCAGGCTCCCCGACGTCCAGTCCACAGCTCTGCCCAGGCTGCCGCTGAGCCTGTTTTATGTGCCAAGTTCTTCATCTCTGGGACCATGGTTTTCTATTGTTCTCGTTTCTTGTTTTTCCTAGCTTTTCCATTTGACACATCTTTTAATAAAGTTTCCATCTCTCTGCTGAGATTTCCCATTTGTTGTCATGCATGTTGTCCATTTTTTCACTAAATCTTTCAGTATGTTAATCATAGTTGTTTTATAATCCCTATCTAATAGTTCCAACATCCAGTTATCTCTGAGTTTGGCTCTGATGTTTATCTTCACAATAGTTTTCATTCCCTCTTATTTTTGTGTGTGTGTATCTTGTAATTTTTTGATTGAATATTAGACATCATGTTTAGAAAACGTAGAGACTGAGGGAAACAGCGTATCTGCCCTGAAATGGGCATGCTGCCGTTTCTCTCAGGCCCTCAGTGGGGTCCTCGATTTGGTCCGATCAGGAGTTGAGCTGGGTTTGGGTTTTGTTGCTGCTAGTTACCTCCAGTACCCCCACGGGCTTCAGGTTCTTCCAGTGGAGGGTGGTTGTCACCTTGAGCCTGGGGAGAAGTGTCAGAAGTTTCTCTCAGTGGTCTGGCTTCACCCTTGGCCCTCAGCAGTCCTATGTGTCCGTGGCCCGGAGGGGCTCTCCCTGATCTGTTGACACACACCCCACCCCAGCCCCGCCCCCGCCCGGCGGAGACTGCGTTTACTTGTTGCCTGGTGACAGACTTGTGGTGGGCATGAGGTGTTCTCCATGCTCCTGGTCCAGCCTCAGTCCCAGGCACATGGCCCTTGGGGGCTTTCTCGGCATACCTGTCCCTTTCTTCCCCAGCAGCAGTTGACCTCCTCTTTGTACTGGTGCAGTATCCTCAGCCCAGGAGGGCTTTTGCCCCTTCCTCAGGGCCAGCCGGCTGTGCTTGCACCTTCCCCCAGAAGCAGGGCATCTTGGCCCAGCGCCAGGTGCCAGGAGGACTCCCTCCCCTTCCGCGGAGGCAGGACAGTAGTGCTCCTGCCTCATCCCCAGAAATGGAGGGTCTGCCTGGGCTCTGGGAGCAGGAGCAGTTTTGTCCCTCCCCCAGGGGCTTAAGGGCTTTCTCTTTGGATTTAGAGAAGGCTCCAGGGCAGGCATAGGGTTCCTGCCGGGCCCCCAGGCGCAGCCAGCCCCCACCTCCGCTGCCTTGGAGGCTCTCTCCAGTCTCCTGTGGAAGCGAGCTTGGGAAGGAGGGCACACTCCCCTTGTGTCTGGGGCTCTTGGCTGACCGAAGTCTGGCCCACACTCAGCCCACGGGAAGTGTCCATCTTCTGACTCTTCTGCCTGCTGGCATGGCGGCTACCTCTTCCTCGTGTTCTGCCACAGCGGAGACGGGTCCCGTGTCTTGTCTCTCCTTGGAGGGGCAGGTCCCTCTCGAAATTCAGTTCACGTGGTGACCTTGCAGCTGAGTTCCCGATGGGCTCACGGATAGGTACGATCGTGTTGGTTATGGAGGTTTTTACTGATGTTGTGGTGGGAGTGATGTTTTTTTGTGGCTTTCCACATCCTGAGTGGAATTAGAGCCCCAGAGAGCTGAGAGCAGGTGGGTTGTAGTGTCCCGCACAGGGTCAGCATCTAGTGGCTGCCCGTCTCTCGACTGGAAGAGGCCCATGTCAAGTGAATTTTGACAGACGTCCAGTGCTTTTCCATCTCTTTCAGTTACCCCAGCTGTACCCTGAAGAAAATCTGGAGAAGTTCATTCCTTGCTTAGCTGGCCCAGATTCCTTTTACGTAGAGCGAAACCACATGGATCTGGAAGCGGACCTGAGGTAAGGCTGCCCCGCACCTGCAGGCCAGGGACGCAGCCCCAGCAGTGCCCTGTGGGGCCCGCCCGTGTGGCGATGTGTGGCGTGGCCAGAGCGGGGTGGGTGCACACCTGAGCTGCCTGGTCATCCCCGCGGTCTGGGTCTCTGGGGCGTCCCTGGGGATTTTCATCAGTTGTGGAGAATTTGGTAGAGTTAGTAACAGAGGCATGATTTTGAGGATATGAATAAAGGAGTTTCACAGTACATGCCACCACTTCATGTGATGTTGACGGTCTGAGGAAATGAAATCCAATTACTGTTTCTGTCCCGTAGTGGAAAGCTGAGACTGTTGCAGGACAAAACCAGGGCCCGGTAAAGTCCCATAAGCCATGTCTCCTGGCCGTTGAGCACACCCTGCATGGGTCAGCGGGCAGAGGGGGCAGGCCTGCTTCCTGGGTCCGGGCCCGGCATCCTGGCACCGATGAGTCGGGTGTAGCCCGGTCGCCACACGCTGCAGGAGACCTCAGGGGGCCCGACTGTGCTCTCGTGCTAGCCCGATGCCCCCACCACGGTGTGATGCGGTGGGCGTGTGGAAGGGGCCCCGGGAAACGATAGGAATCAGACAAGAGTGGAATTGAAACAGGGAGAATATGGGTTGTGGTGCTTCTGTTTACTTTTTTCTGTCATGGGTATTTCTCTTAACTGAAAATCAAAATTTCACTCTGATTTAGTTTTTGGTAATAACCATTTTAATGCTGATAAAACCTCTTTGTGTAATTTTTAGGTATTTGGCTTCATTACCTTCTCACGTATTAAAAAATGACCACGTTAAGAAATTTTTCAGCACTTCATCTCCCACCCAACAGCTTCAAAGTCCAAGTGAGTTTGTGAAATGTGATTACGTAAAGATAAAAACATCTTTATAGTCTGTAACCTTTCTGACATTTATCTTACCTTGCAGGTCCTGGCACCCCTTCCCTCTCTAAAGTGGGTACCATGATGGGCGTGTCTGGAAGGTGAGGCATCTGGAACCAGCACGTTTCACATCCGCATAGAGGTTACTTCTGCCTGTGTATAAATGTTTGTAGAGTGAAGTCATTTTTGGTCTTAGTCTTGAATAATAGTGTGAGGGGATTTGGATAGAGATACTCCAGTTTACGATCTGTCCATGTAAAAAAAGAAGTGGTTCTCTGGGCCACTGGAGTTGGAATTCCCAAGGACTCTTATTGCAAATGCCGATTTCCGGGCCCTGCGCACCCTAGCGCAGCAGAATTTCCGAGAAGCTTCATTTCTATAAGCTCCCAGGGAGCGACTGTGCCCAGGGTCCTCCCTCAGCAGGAGGCCTGATGGTGAGTGGGTGACAGACAGGTGGGCCAGCGTCACCGACAGCAACACGCCCGCACGCTTGTGGGAAGATGCAGTCAGGTGGTCCGGGCTTCCACGGTGCTGACTCTCCCCTTTACCCCTTGCCTGCTACATACGGAGTGCACCGTGAACGTGCGGGTTTGCAGTCTGGGCCGGAAGGGTCAAGGGTGGAAAGCAGAATGCGGAGTGTTCTTCCAGCCTGCTGCTAGGACTCCCTTTCACAGAGTTCATTCAGACGTTAAAGATCGAGGAGTCAGTTGTAATGTATGATTTTCAGTATCATGCTATGATCGAACAACAGAGCCTGGGCAGCTCAGCCACACGTACGCACGGGTGCGCATCCATGGACACGTGCACACCCACAGAGGCCTCCGGGGGGCGGGGGGGGGGCAGTGGCAGGAAAGGGCTCTGATGCTGGCAGTGGGCGTGGCCTCAGATGCAGCCCAGCACACGGCAGCCGGCTTCTGCCCACTGTCCACCTGTGTGTCCGGGAAGGAGGCCATGGTCCCGGGAAAACCACCTGTCTGCTGTCCCCACAGGCCTGTGTGTGGCGTGGCCGGCATCCCCTCCTCTCAGAGCGGCGCCCAGCACCACATGCCGCACTCGGCCAGCTCGGCCGCCTTGCCCCACTGCTCCCACGCGGGGGGTGCAGGCTCGGCGTTGGCCTACCGGGCCCAGATGGACAGCTCGCCCGCCATCCTGATGCCCTCCAGTCTGCAGGCCCCTCAGACCCAGGAGCAGAACGGGATCCTAGACTGGCTGAGGAAGCTGCGCTTGCACAAGTACTACCCGGTCTTCAAACAGCTCACCATGGAGAAGGTATGCGGATGACTGGGCAGGCCACACACAGTCTTCCTCTGCCTCGCTCCTAGCGGGCTTGAGGTGGGTGTCTGGACTGTGCACGATGTGGGAATCCCGTGGCCTGCTAGTCGATGCCTGTATGTGTGCCCGGCGTCCTGCACACCCACCGGGGAGCGGCGGTGCATGTGGGTGGGAAGGCTCCCTGCCGCCAGAGCAAAAATTCGAACGGGATTGCTTGTAAACAAACAGCTTTTTTTTTTTTTTTAAGGTAGTCTGGGGTCTTCATGGGTTAGATACTCTACATGATATGAAGGACATTGTATCCCCAGCAGCCATTTCAGAAGAAATGGTGAATTCTGGTGCGCACACGCCCTTTGTTAGATGCCCTTCGGCCTGGGCTGTGCGCGTACAGGAACTTAGTGCCGGAAGGGCCTGTTTTACAAGGCGCCCAAATACTTGCATGCGAGGGAGCAGCCCGTTGACCATCTGGCTTGATTGACGGTCATACAGCTGAAAGTAATAGATGAATTTTATGTCTTTCAAGCAGCCCTACAAAGTTTTGGTTTTTTGTTTCGTTTTTTGTTTTATTTTTTAAGAGATAGAGGGGGGTGGCAGGAGGGGCAGAGGGAGAGAGAGAATCTCAAACCCCCTGCTGAGCGCAGAGCCCGCCCCAAGGCTGATCTCACAACTTTGAGATCACCACCTGAGCTGAAATCAGCAGTCAGACACTTAACCAACAGAGCCACCCAGGCTCCCTGGAAATTATTTTTTACAACAGAGAGTTTTGATGAGCATTTTTTTGTTGTTAAAGAAAATTCTGGAATTTCTGAAGTGTTGGTGTCACTGAGAAAACTAAATGTGACTCATGGCGGTGTTTGAGCTCTGATGCCCCTTGCTGGATACAATCACTTGGTGCTTTTATCTATATAAACATCTTATTGTCCAAAAATCTGCAACTGAATCTAGAAATCAAGCTTTTAAGTATATTTGTAATACTCTTGGCTTAGGATTCATAAATCCTAAAAAACAATAGATACTGCCAACTTTGTCTCATGATCAGTTTAAAAAAGTTTGAATGTAATGTAGGAGTTGAATTTTAGCCATAAAATCACCATCGCATTATGAAGTGTCATGCGAACCAGTGTTGTGTCTGCTTGGTATAAGACCCCCGGGTTAGTTAGCCATTCGGTGCAGGTGGTATCTGCTTTTCTGGGTCACTTGCTTTCCAACAAAGTTGCTTTGCCCCTAAAATGACGGTGACTGTGAGACAGAAGAGCTGTTAAGAGTTCTCCTTTCTGGAGGAGGATAAACAGCTTGCATTTACCCCAGGGGGTAGGTCCCTGGACAGGAGGGGGACATTTCCACAGACCCAGTCTCTGTAGAAGTGGAAACTGCAGGACATGTTCCTTAGTCACCTGCCTGCATAGTGCGGACCTTCCAGGTGCCCCGTCTTCTCCAGGCCGTGTGCGGAAGGCCCAGTGGGCGTGGCCGCTGAGCCTCATATGGAAAGTGAGCATTTCATGTTTTGAACGAGGGACACCACATCATTTAGCAATGGACTGTTTTGGTGTTCCCAAGGCTGCTTTTTCTTTTCTTTTTTTTTTTTTTAAGATTTTATTTATGTATTTGACGGAGTAAGCGAGAGAGGGAGCGAACACAAGCAAGCAGGGGGGATGGGAGAGGGAGAAGCAGGCTCCTCTCTGAGCAGGGAGCCCGATGCGGGGCTCGATCCCAGGACCCCGGGATCATGCCCTGAGCCGAAGGCAGACGCTTAACGACTGAGCCACCCAGGCGCCCCTGTTCCCAAGGCTTTTATTATCCATTAGGTTTGATCTGTTTGTGGATGCTACTGGTAGAATACGTTTATTAAATTATACTCCAAGTTCTTTGTTTTCAGAGTCCTAATTGATTCTCAGTAACTTTATGATGTGTTTCTTCTGTGCAAGTTTCTGAGCCTTACTGAGGAAGATCTAAATAAATTTGAATCCCTCACAATGGGAGCAAAGAAAAAACTCAAGACTCAGCTGGAGCTGGAGAAGTAAGTGTGACACTGCGAAACGTCTGTTTCTTTTCATTCCTGATGTACTGAATGTGGTATCTAAGTGGGGTATCTCGATTGGATGAGGGCCCCCAAATGTGGGGTGACTGTCGGGTGGCCTGGGAGGTGAAAGAGTTCACCTGAAGCGGAACAAAGGAGAGTTCATTGAGGAGAGGCTTTCAGCCAGGAGGCAGTGTGTGGGGGCTTTATTTAAAGAGGGAAGGTGAGGACGTGTGGAATCTTCCCTCTTTTTGGTCACTGTGCTGGTTGTAAGTATCCCAGTGGTCATCTGGGGCCTAGGGGTATTCTGAGATGGGTCGTCTCATGGGCCTGTGTTCAGCCAGGGGGTCGCTCTTAGAGTGCCTCTGCACTGAACAGGTGCTAGCGAGCACTTAGCTAAATGCCCTTGATTGGATTACTTTGATTGCTTATCAAAGCTTCATTAATGCTTTCACAGTTCTACGATGTGGTTTGGGTGTGCTAGGAAGGGCCCTGTGCAGCGAATCCGACAAGTCAGAATGCATTGCTTTCCATGTCTGAGGGTATCTGGGGGCGGTCCCCTTTGTATGGAATCTGTGCAGGAGAGCAGAGCTTGGGCAACAGTCAACCGTTCTCTAGCAGAAGACCTGAACGCTCACTCGTTCACGTGCTCTCTTGTGGCACAGGGAGAAGTCAGAGAAACGGTGCCTGAACCCCACAGCCCCACCCCCGGTCACCAGCAGCGGAGTGGCCCGCGTCCCCCCCACCAGCCACGTCGGGCCCGTGCAGACCGTGCGAGGCCCCCACGCTGCAGGTGGGTGAGGGCGGGGTGGCCTTGAGGGGAGCATCGCGGGCTCCTCCTTTGGAGGATAGTTATTAGACTCCAGACCACACACAGCCTTTTGGCATTTGCCTATTTTTAGAATTTACAGTTACTGCTCATTATTTTAGCTTTCATCATTTCCACCATTAGAAAACAGAAGGGACATTTGGTTTAGAACCTAGAGACCAGTGACTCACCTGAAGTTGTTCGGGCAAGAGAATTAGATCCGGCAGCTGCACGGCCAGAGGGAAAGAGAAAGAGGTACCCCAAACAGATGAAGATACGCTTCTTCCCCAGGAGGGTGCAGACAGGTCCTTGTAGGTCCTTGCTTCAGAGGTCCACCTTGGAACTCCCCAGAGTGCGAGAGCGCAGCCTCCCTGTCGTGCAGCGCCTGGCAGCCGCGGGCCCTGGGCTCTTAGCCGCCCTCCTCCTCTCCCTGCCTTCGCCTCTGCAGTCGGGGCGCCGGATGCCGGGGACGGATGGCCCGTGGTTTTCTTTACACTGTGGAAGTAGCACCAGTGACAGGACGCCAGGGAGAAAAACATGCCAGTCTATCTTTTGAGTGGTTGTTTGCCTAAAAGGGTCTTCCATCCCTTGGCCTCGTAAAATGGGGTGTCCCTCAGTGTTGGGAGATGACTTTGGTAGCACCGTGGTGGCTGGGCGCCCCTTGTCGCTTCTTCTCCGAGGTGTGAGTGGAGCCTCGGGCAGCTTGTTTTCTCCGAGTCCCCGGGTCCTGTCTGAAGCAGGAGTGACAGCACCCGCCTCCCCGGGGCTGGTGCCCGGGTCAGCGGGATGGGTGTGCGCCGAGGCGGGTGGGGAGGGCGCGGTAGACACTGGCCGGCGCGACCCCTGTCGGCGCCCCTCTTCCGCAGCGCTGCGGGTAGAAGTGGAGCAGCCCCCTCACCAGACGGCCCGGGAGGGCAGCTCCTCGGAATGCTCCAGCTCCTCACCCAGCCCGATGGGGGTGCAGGCCCGGGAAGAGAGCTCGGACAGCGCCGAGGAGAACGACAGACGTAAGGACGCCCGTCCTGGGAGCGCCCTGCTGCCCCTGCCCTGGCCCGGGGCGCCGTGCTGACCGCTGTGTTTCCATCTCTAGGTGTGGAGATGCACTTGGAGGGCTCGGAGAAGGAGAAGCCCATCCTGCTACTGAACCATTTCGCTTCAAGTTCCGCCAGACCCACGGCCCAGGTTCTCCCGGTGCAGAACGAGGCAGGCTCCGGTCCGGCGGGCCACCACCCCCTCCCCCCCCAGATGATGGCCGCGGCCTCGCACCTGGCACCCATGCGGATGCTGAATTCCGTGCACAAGTCGGAAAGGGGGGGCGCGGACATGAAGCTCCTCCCGCCTTCCGTGCACTCGCTGCTGTCTCTAGAAGAAAGGAGTAAGCTCTCGGGACCAAGAGGCGGCATCAAAGTGGACAAGAACTTCGGCCACAGCGTGATGGACGCAGCGCCCACGCCCACCGCCCAGCAGCCCCTGCAGGTGCTCTCTGCCCTGGCCGAGAGCAGCTCCGTGTCGCCCGCCGTGTCCTTCGGTCCCCGCGCCAAAGTCGTGCACACGGCTGCGCTGGACAGGGTGATGAAGCCGGCCCCGCAGGCGGCCCTGGCGGGGGAGGCGAGCACGGCTGCCGCGGGGACGTCGAGCGCCGTCTTCCACGTGGCTCGGCCACCCATCAAGCTGCTGGTGTCCTCCTCTGTCCCCGCGGACTCTGCCGTTTCCGGGCAAACTCCCTGCTCGAGTAACGTGCAAATAAGCGTGCCCCCTGCAATAATAAGCCCCCGGACTGCCCTGTACACCAACACCAAAGCTGCCTTCTCTGCGATGGGCAGTGTGCCCGTGGGGCCCCTGCAGGGCAGCTTCTGCGCCAGCAGCAGCGCCGCCGCCTCCAGCAGCCACCCGCCCACGGCCTTCGCCAGCGTGGCCCCTGCGCCCGGCTGCCCGGCGCCCAGCTCCAGCCCCGCGCTCTCGTCGGCGCCCGACAGCGGCTTCTACGGCGGCGGCGGCGGGGGCGGCGGGGGCGGCGGCGGCGGCGGCTCCCCGGGCAGCCTCGCCGCGCCCGCCCAGAACCACCACCACCACCACCACCATCAGCAGCAGGCGGCGCCCCCGCAGCCCGCGCCCGCGCCCGCGCCGCCGCCCGGCTGCGTCGTGTGCACGTCGTGCGGCTGCAGCGGCAGCTGCGGCTCCGGCGGCCTGACCGTCAGCTACGCCGGCTACTTCCAGCACCCGTTCTCGGGGCCGTCCGTCTTCCCCTTCCCCTTCCTGCCCTTCAGCCCCGTGTGCGGCGGCGGCTACGTGGGCGCCCAGCAGTACGGCGGCGGCGCCTTCCCCGTGCTGCACCCGCCCTACGGCGGCGGCGTGGCCCCCGAGCCCGTGCTGGGCGGCCCGTCGGCCTTCGCCGTGCCGCCCCTGCAGAGCTTCCTGGCGGGCGCGGCGGGCGCGTACCAGGCCCCGGGGCCGGCGGGCAGCAGCAGCGGCTCGGGCCACAAGAAGAGCGGCCACCTGTCGTGTTACAACTGCGGGGCCACCGGGCACCGCGCTCAGGACTGCAAGCAGCCGTCCATGGACTTCAATCGGCCAGGTAAAGGGGGGCGGCCGCAGAGCTGCCCGCGGCGGGGAAACCGCCGCCAAGCGCTGCGCCCTAGGCAGGAACCGGGGCTCGAGAGCCGCGGGGAAGAGCGTGGGGCTCTGGGCGGGCGGGCGGGCCCCCGAGAGCGCCACTCGGCCTCGAGGCCGCGCGGGCACCGCAGCCTGCTCCCCGCGGGGGGCCGGGCTGGCGGCGCGGGGGGCGCCGGGTCACCTCGCCGTGCTGCCACGCGCCACCCCTTACTTGCACTTGCTCTCTTTTGTCTCTAGTCCAGTTCAAGTGCGCGTCTGCTGTGGCGGTGCCGCAGGTTGGTTCTTGCGGGCGGCCTTGGAAGGGACATGCGACTAGGCAGGAGGAGCCGAGCCGCGCGGCCCGGACAGCCCCCGGGTCTCTGTGTGGGCGCTTGACGGTTGCCCCAGGCCTGGGCTCCCCACACCCGCCTGTGCATCTCGCTCACCCAGAGAGCGTCAGAGACGACTCTGGTGGCAGCTGGGGGTGGCCGTGGGCCGTCCTCACGCTGAGGCTGTGTCCTGAAGCAGCGGGCCCAGGCCCGGGGTGAGGGTCAGGCATCCCCGGCCCCCCGCCCGGCCGAGCTCCCGAAGAGTAGAGCACCGGACTGCTGCCCGGCCGGGTCGCCCCTTGGCGCTGACCCACCTGTCTGTCACGTCTAGTTTCGCGGGTGGAAGCGAGGAGCTGGGAGTGGGCACAGCAGGCAGTCCAGATTTCCAGCACCCGCCTCTTGACCAGTGACTCTGGAAAGAACTTTGGACAGCTCAGTTGTTGGGCGTAATTGCACAGTGATTCAAATTTGATCTCTTTTTCCCCCCTCTCTCTCTAGGTACTTTTAGGTTGAAATATGCCCCTCCAGCAGAAAGTCTGGACTCCACAGACTGACATTTTTCTCTGGCAGCAGAACACTATTAAGCCATGGAGACATAAGGAAAATTAAATACAAAACTGAGAAGTCTAGTTGCTGTTGAGCTTAATATTTTTAATCCAAAGGTGCTTTACTTTACTAGACTGGATAGAAAACCTAGCGTAGGAGTGCATCAAACTCAGTTTTATTGCCAAAATCCTAGATTGGAGCTTGACGTCAGGACTCGCCTGGTCGGCGCCTCCACCGTGGTTGCGATGCAGAGACCTCCGTCTCCCGAGGAGCATTGCCGTCATCGGCCCTTCCAGGCTCACACGTAATTCCCGGGCAGCTACGCAAGATCGGAATCGAGAACTGCAGGTTGGAGTTCTCCGCATGGAGTTCCACCAGTCGGACTCTTGATACCCCTGGGTGAGGGAAAATGTCGCCTTTGTCGTTTTGTTTTGTTTTTTGTTTCGTTTTGTTCCTCAAGTGGTTAGACACTAATCTCTCTGGGCTTTTTAAGGACTGCACTCCAGAAGAATGTAAACTGATGTCAATCTCTGCCGCTCGGGGAGACAGACTCCCTGAGACCAGTCAGTGCAAGACACTCAGAGAACCCGTTTTTAAGGAGCTGGCACCAGCAGGCTACGTGACTTGGTACACAACAGAGATTTTAGCATTTCCTTCCCTCCTTGAAACACTTGTAGCAGTTTGAAGTTTTTAATTTTTTTTTTCTGCGAATAAATTTAAACTACGTTATTAAATAGAAATAGTTACTCGCAACAACTTAGTATCTAAGGGTCCAAGTCCCAGAGAATCCCTAGTTGTCAAAGCTTTGAGAATCCCTTCCTTCCCGGCCCTTCAGTAGCTTGAAGTCCTGTCATCTTCCACCGCGACAGAGCTCTGGCCAAGACGTGGTGACCGCATGGCCTTCGTGACTAGCTCTGACGGATGCTACTCATCCTTAGCAAAGTTGGCAAGTTCTTGTCTCTCTCACGGATCTCCCAAGGACCCCAAGGCTTACTGCTAACGGAGTCACACTCGAGACAGACGTTTCAACAGTAATACAGTCCTATAATCTATGAGCAGAAGATTTGAAACGTTCTCCTGTCAGCTGCTTTTGTATTAGGCTGTGTATGTAGTGGTTAGTTCTGCTCGAAATTACCTGAAAACTCCAGTAGAAAGTGGTAAGACTCTGGAAGAGCCCACACCACCAGGACAGAGCTACAAGATCTGCAGAAATCTAGTTTTATCCAAAGTGGGAAGTAAGTCCTCACCATACGGCTCTGTTTCACCCCATTACAATGAAAGCTGCTTGGTCTGAAATTTAGGGACTTAAACCTTTAAAGCCAAAAGGGAGGTTTCTGCTCAGATACTACTATTTTAACACTAAAGCCTTCAATATTAAAATATTGATTGGTAAGGCCTCGCCCAGGGATCTTGCAGTTGAAGATTTATTTAAAAAAAGAAAATCATAATAGTCAGACCTCCCTTAAAATGGGACAATCAGCCTCATGCCGAATTGGTATAAATCAAAAAGAACACCCTAGAATTTGAGGCACTGTGAGGTGAGGCTTCAAAGTTTATGATCCGTTTCCTGGCGGGAACTAGGGCAGAGTTCCCTTTTTTTTTTTCTGACGGGCTTTTAGTAGCGTTTTTGTAGAGTTTTATTTTAGTAGAGTTTCATTTCTATGCAATGCAGAATTGACAGACCTCTGTATGCTTCTCTCTCTTCCTGGTACACGGTATTACATACGGTTTTGAAGTGGTGGTGACGCTTACAACAACTTTTTGGGGGAATGTTACATTGATCTCTTAATTATAAACACTACAAAATGTCAAAACAAGGAGAACTGACACAACTTTGCCTTAAAGAGTACGAGCCTGGAACTTGTCATATGATGTTAAAGGAAGACTTGGGAGTGTCCACTGATGTTTACGATTTTAATATTTCTGAAGGCCGTTACGGTGGCCTGGACATGTGCTGAAAGCCAAACTTTTAAATTTTTTGGTTTTTTAAACAAAGAAATATTTTAAATAAATCCTATTTCAACACAGTGAAATTGTTGAAAACTGTCTCATAACAAAAGAAAAAAAATCATATTTAGGGTTTTTGTTTTAGTGGTCCGTATTGGGGAATGAAAGCGTCTGTTGTTATCCTTATGACTATTTTGATAAATAGTAGAGGTTAGTGTGTTCCATACAACAGAAAATTAAAATAGGAGCTTCGATTCGAAGTAGGACATTCAGACTGAGGTAAATAAGTCCAGACATTAATGTGTGGCTGTGTTCCAGTCATCAAAGGTCTTAGAAAAATTCCCACTTGTCTCTGAGCGTGCGTGTGCGGTGTGACGTCTCCAGTGAGGCCATTCCAAGGGGAGAATCGTAAAACGGAAACGTGAGGCACACGGGACACAGAGCATCCAGCTGCCGGTCTGTGCGACTCTTCCCAAGTGAATACTTGGACTTGGGGAGTGTTTGCTGGCAGTGTAATCTCTGATGAATTTCTCTCCAAAAGCAACCAAAGTCAGTAAGCCTCAAGAGCATTCTGCACTTCCTCAGATGGCCTCCTCTTCATAGAAACACAGATCTGACTGGCCCTTTCAACTCTGTAGTCGTTTTCCTGAAACCATGGGCTCAGTGTGCAAATGCTGTAGCAACCAGGTAGGTGGGGCACAGCCACTCTGCTGTGTAGTCTGTCGTCTGTCCAAGTTTCTGTCCCCATTTTTTGTCTCCCAAGAATGGGGGAAGTGGAATGTACAGATTGAAGTACAATACAGTGTTGGGATAAAACAACTCTTTAATCCTTTTTTTTTTTTTTTTTTAGCAAACAATTTTCTACCTTCTTTTCTTGGTAGTATTGAAAATTGGAAAAGTGTTTAAATGTTAAAACTCGTAACTGCTAATGAGCACTGAGGAAATGGGAGCTAGCACTTAAATTAACAACAGAATTATTTTCTTCAAAGCAGGTATGTGTGATTGGGTATTTAAAAAAAAAAAAGCCAACCAGCAGCATCTATGATCTCCAGATTATGGGAGTCGGCTTGTGAATATAGTAGTTGGTAGGGTCCGTGTTCTAGCTCCGTCCTTAGAAGTCACCGTAGCTAGTTTGCACTGCCCCGTGTGGAGGTGCGGAGCGGGGCCCCGACTCTGCCCCGCGTCACGCCGCAGCCGCAGCGCGTCCCAGGCGGAGCGCCCGCCGATCGGATCCGTCTGCGTCTGCCCGGCCGCTCTGGGCTCGCTCGTGTCGCGGGAGAGCGCTGGCCCAGCGCAGTCAGGTTGCACCCTCCTCACTCCCTTTCATTTTGTGCTCTTCCTGCTTCTGTGATGGGTTATTTGATGCCTTGCTCGTTTTACATCCTGGTTACTGGTGGCGTATATATTGAGTCTTAAGGATGGTAAGGGAAACCGTGTCCTTCCCAGAGGATGGGCCTGTGGAACCTGAGCGGGCGGACGTCCTTTCCAAAGCGCAGGTGACGTTGAGAGCCGTGGGCTCTGAAGAGGCTCAGTTTGCAAAGTCCTGAGGTTCTGAATGAAAAAATCTTTTAATCAGCACTCGCAAAACCACATACTTGCTGGTTGAGGCCAAAGGTCAACTTGACTACACTGTTCTGGGGGGAGGGGAGCTCAGTGTGGCTCGTCAGTCAGTCCCGGGGATTGTAACAAGCCCCTCACATGCATTAAGTTCTTACATGCACAATGAAGGCTTTGGTACTGAAACCAGAGACCTCGTGTATTCGAGAATCTTCACAGCTTATATTGGACAGATTTTCTTTTTAGGAATGAAGGAAAATTCTCCCATTTTTGAGCCATTCTTTTATGTCAATTCTACAAAATTGCATGTAACTTTATAAATATTTTTAAAAGATATAGTTTTGTAAATATTTAATATTCTGCTAATTTGATTTTGAATTGTAAATGTTAAGTATTGTTTTTGAAGTTTTTATGTTTTATTATACTTTGTTAAAAAGGAAAAATTGTACATTTTTAGAATGTTTTTATGAGTAAATTTAATGTACTGAAAATAAAAATTAAAAAAAGCTGTTTCATTTTATTAGGTCTTTGTCTCATAGAATATGAAAGCACACATCTTTTCAAATGAATTGCAATTCTTGATCTGCAAACTAGGGAGTCAACCCTTTCTGCCCTCTCCACTTGACAAGAGATAACATGCTTTTAAATCCATTTTCTCTCCAGTTTCCCGGGTTTTAAAAAAACGTCCTTGCTATGACCAGAAACATTAACTCTTGGTTTGGTATGTTCCAGCTCTAGGTTCCCTAAGAAAAATAAGATTGGCATGAATTGATGTCAAGTTTCTTCGGAACGTCTCTCTAAACACGTAGGTATGACGTGGTATGAACGTGCCCTGGCATTTCTGGATTCGGAATGGTGGTGGTCTAATGAGCACGAGCTGGCCCAGGACTGTGGTGTTCTCATGAGCGGCGCCAGACACAGGAAGGAGAAACCTGGCGCCTTTTTCCCAACAGAGGTCCCCAGGCCCTCTTGGTCTCGTCAGGCCTGTGGCGACCCAGAGGAAAACGTTCCTGTACACACAGTTCCAGCCATCAGGGCTCCTGTCAGGAGACACACGACTGGCCCATACTTGGGGCCCACAGCAGCCCCTCTGACTTGCCGTTTGGTCAGGCCAGGCTTCTGAAGATGGGGGACATGAACGCCAGAGCAACACACTCGGGGAAGCTGAACATTTCCTCATCTCGCTCCCTGGATTCTTCCACAAAAACATTTTAAGTGCCTGCTCCAATTTGGAATGGGTGCAGTTTCTCAAACGAGCAATGCTGGCCACTACGTGGCCGATGTTTGTGCTCTATCTTTCCCCGATGCGGCATGAGGGGAAACCACAAACACGTAACGCCTCCTCGACCACTCAGCACCTACTCTCGGCACCTGCTGTGTTTTACTCTTTCATTCACAGCGGCAGGTTTTCAAGTGTTTATTCCCACAAACACCCAGGCCTCACATCCATCCATCCTCTTTGTGCTATGCCTTTTAGTTCCCAGGAGAATTTACTTGTGCAAAGACAAGACCAGCTGGCAGAACCTTGCCCAAGGTAAGGAAGGTGCCTGGCACGAGGCAGAGACCTTCAGAGATGGGTGCCCCTCTGTCCCCCTTCCCCCACTGCCGCCACCACCACCTGGTCTTGGGATGGTAGACAGTATACAGCATTGCCAAGTATCAAATACTGATCCATTAAACTGAGCTTCATGAGTTTTTAGTTGTGCCTTTATTCACCTTAGTTCATTAAAAATGTACTTGGTTTAGAGATCCTAGTGACCACCCACTAATGTGGGATTACAAGTCACCCCTCTCTGCATGGTACTTTTTTTAAAAAGCAGAGTTTCTTCTAGGAATCTTACTGATCACACAGTAGTTACAAGAATGTCAGATATAATGATGTATACAATCTAAACAAGACAGGCCGATTAAGAATTTACATTTTGTATAAACACACACTAAAAGTTAGCCATGTGGACAGAAGCATGCAGCGGGAAGAGGAGTCGGAAGGTCAGGGGTCAAGCACCCGAATGCAGTACTACCGCGTCCCCCCCTCCGTTAATAAGTAACTTCCACTAACAGGTACAGGTATACACCACACACGCCTAAATACACAAAGGGAAATCGTGACCTGCTGCAGTACAGTCCGAAGGGGTCTGTGATCCTTCTGTGCTACTCCCACAAAAACAGTACATGGCGAACCCCATGCAGGTAGCAGGAAGCGTTGGTTATTCTAGTTGAACTCGGAAAATGTTTAACTTCTGACATGAGTATCTGTGAAGAGCATTAGGTCTCCTTTTGCTACTGTTTTCTTCACAACTGACATGCACTCGGGAGTGGAGGAACTTTGATGGTTGGCTGACCTACAATGACAACTGAAATACTCTTAAAAATGTAACTTTTTAATAAGAGTCACACACTTAACATAAAACATGGATCATCTACAGCTTTAGGCCAAAAGGCAGAGGGAGTGCATCTGAATTTTAATGCTTTAGTTTCCATGTCCTGTAGTTTCTAGCACTGTAGTTAAGGAATGAAACGGATAGAACAGCTTGTTTCTTTAACCAAAGCGGACAGCAGTTTGACTTCTTAGAGAACATACAAACCAGGAGAAATGTCACACGTTCTTTCTCTGGGCCCTTTGAGAAACTAGACCAAAATTTTAAATTATTCAAGGTTCTTACTGAGCAGTGGTGCTTTTCTGTTACTGTCTAGAGAAGCAAACAAGAACTCGCCAGTGCTGTGAGAGCACGGACTCACAGTACACGTACACGAGGAGCAGGAACCTTGGGCAGCAGTTCAGAGTTTTCCTACCCCCATTTTCCCAGCTTTTTGCCAACGATTATAGCAAATGGGGGGCGGAGGGGGGGGGGGGAGACAACTATGCTTGACAATTTATACTTAAAGATCCTCTTACAGGTATTTCCCCAGTTGAATAGAAAACCTTCTACAAAAAGTTGGCTAGTTCAGTGAACCTCGTAAAGAATGTCTCTGAATGCTTAAATTGCAGGTTCCTAATAGGGAAGGAGGATTAAAATAATGTGAAGGTCTATGCTACTGGCAACTTAGAATACAAGGTATTTTATTTTTAAACTTCTAAATTTGAAAACAAAACAGCCTAGGTTAAATAATGTAGTTTTCCAAAGCTGAAGGTGCTCATTTGGAGCTCAGTTTTTCTGCTTACAGTACAAAACAACTTCCTAAAACTCCTAGGCAGGAACACTACTGTTTGATGATCTGTGATTGGATGAACTCCTCAATCTCAGTTGGTAAATATCCCTTTTTTTCTCCTTGGTAAGGTTTTAAAAAAATTCAAGAACAGATGCATTTTTCTAGTCTTACACAGACAGTTTCATTCCAAATGTCTCCTGAGAAGCGTACACCATATACAGGAATCCGTCTTCGTCCTTCTCACTTTCATACACTTCAGAAATCGGCGTGGACACACTCACCATGCTGTGTCCATTCACTAGCAGGAAGAAGGCTTGATTAGCGTTGAGTTGTAAGCGTCTCCTATTGAAAGAGATACCAACACATCAATATGCAGGGGACATGGAAAAATATCACCTACCCCCATTGATAGAAAAGTATAAAGCTTTTGTGAATGCTGCTTCTGGCAAAATAATGTGTGTGCCTACAGATGAGGACTCTCCTAAAACTTCTCATAGAGCATAGGACATGTCCTAGGATTACATTCATGACTGATATTAGTGGTAATTCTTAGTAGGTTATTATTACTGTATTCCCCAGGCCAGTTTTAAATTAGTATGCTCTCTGAATAGCCATTAGTGTCTAATGAAATAGTTCAAACTATAATTTACAAACTATTTATTACCATTTTACCAAGTCTACATTATCTTTTAATAATTTTGCCATACAAAACTTGTAAACTTTTCTGATTAAGAGACATCTGGGGGAGCCTGGGTGGCCCAGTCAGTTAAGCATCTGCCTTCGGCTCGGCTCATGATCCCAGGGTCCCGGGATCGAGCCCCGCATCAGGCTCTCTGCTCAGCAGGGAGCCTGCTCCTCCCTCTCTTTGCCTGCCGCTCTGCCTACTTGTGCGCGCTCGCTCTCTCTGTCAAATAAATAAAATCGTTGAGAGAGAGACAACGTCTACACTAGATGTTATGATGAAAGAATCTAAGAGACAGGAAACCCAGCAGATAAGAAAAAGAACTCAGGAAGGAAGGAAACATCTTTAGGTTTTATTAAGCTTGCACAGATGTTAACTAAAGATTTATCTGTAAGTCTGATACAGAATGAGCAGTTACCCAAAGAAATAGAAAAAAAAAAAAGGTGATTAAATACCTAATGATCTTGATGAGCTCACTCATGTTGACATGATCAGGTACAAGGAATTTGGTTTTGTCCAGGACAGGAAGTTGCTTCTCACCCTTGTACCGTTCTATTATCACCTAGAAGAGCAGCCAGACGAGAGATTTTAAAATAACCGTTAACAATGAAGAGATGAAATACTTTCTATGTTGTAACTGGCACATACCAAAACGGGGTTTGAAATAGAAACAGCGCATTTGTTAGTTTCCCCATAGATCTGCAAATAGTGATCATTTATTAGCTTAGACTCTATCCCTTACAGAATATAGTACACAAGACAAATTGGCTGCCTCCAGGGAGGTGAGCAGGGTGGTGAAAGAAGTTTGCTATATATTCTTTTTGTTATTTGGAACCATGAAAATATACTAACTAGCCAGAAAAGAGCAGATGCTAGGTACCAGCTTAGAGTGTAAGCTCTGAATCTATGTCAATTGCAATACCACTATTTCCTCTGAAATGTGTGAGATCTTAATTACGGTAATATACTCAAATGTCTTTTTCATACTAGACTGGTTTCTCTACTTGATGTGGGAAAAGTCCTAAGTAAATATCTGATAAGTAGAGACAATGATCAGCTGGCTCTGGAGACAAATTTTGCACAGAAAGACTTGAAGATTCTTTCATTTTGACAAAATACTCCTTATATTTCTTTAATGAGTTTTAAGAGTCAAGAATCTTGCACTATGCAGGGAACAAAAATAGTTCCACATCATGAACCGAAATAAATTCATTAGTTCCTTGCCCATACTTCCTTTCCACAGAGGACAATTTCTCCCCTAGTTCGAAGCCACCACAAAAGCTGGCCAGAGTGCTGACTGCCTGTGCCTCATCATCTTCTGAGTACCACAGACACTCTTCTCAGGTAAAGCAACTCTCTACCCTGCCACAACGACGAGAAGTTGAGAGACAGGAATGGAAATCTTTGCATAATGTTAGAAAAGGGGAAGATACTTGTCTGTACATTGTTCCACTATATATGGGACCCACATGGGTTCTGTATAAGGCCAAATCAAATTGCTATTCCCTTCCTTGTTAAGATCAAGGACTTTTATCCATCGGGTGTGTTCAGAACACGGTAGCCACAAGGGAGAATCAGTAGATAAGACTACTTTTGCCTGGGTTTGAGAGATCAGAGGCAATACAGAATCTTTTTTTTTTTCCCCAAAGATTTTATTTATTTGACAGAGATAGCGA